CAGATTGGAAAGGAAGAAATTAAACTGCCCCTATTTTCACATGACATGATTGTCTACAATCCCAAGTAATCTACAAAAAACTCCTATAACTAATAAGTGAGTTCAACGAGTTTGCAGGACAGGAGATCAATACACAAAAATCAATTGCATTTCTATGTACTAACAATGAACACCTGAAAACCAAACGTAAGAACACAATACAATTTAAAGTCACTCCAAATAAAATAAAATGCTTATGTGCAGAATCTGTATGCTGAAAATAACAAAATGCTGATGAAAGAAATCAAAGAAGACCTAGATAAATAGACAGAGATACTACATTCATGGATTGAAAGACTCAACATACAAAAATGTCAATTCTTCTAAAATCCATGTAATGCAATTTTGATCAAAATACCAGAAAGAATTTTGAAAACAGAGACAAGATTATTCTAGAGTTCATATGAAAAGAGGTAATAGAATAGTTATAAGCACATCCAAATGTTCAACATAATTAACTATCAGAGTAATGCAAATTAAAACCACACTGTCACTACAAACATTTCAGAGTTGCTAAAATAAAAAATAGTGACCATAATTGAGTGCAGTGCACATGCCTGTAGTCCCAGATACCCAGGAGGCTGAGGCAGGAGGATCGCTTGAGCACAGTAGTCCAGCCTGGGCAACATAGTGAGATCCCATAAGAATAAAAAGAATAATAATAATAATAATAATGACAACACTAAAAGCTAGATGAGGACGCAGAGGAACTAGATACATTACTGGTGTACTGTAAAATGGCGCAGCCACTCTGGAAAACCATTTGGTAGTTTCCTCTAAAACTACATGTGGAATTGCAATATGACCCAGCAATTTCATTCTTGTGTGTTTATCCCAGAGAAGTGAAAGCTTAGATCTGCATAAAAACCTGTACATGAATGTTCATAATAGCTGTATTCATAATAGCCCCAAATTAGAAACAACTCAAGTGCTCTTCAATATATAATTGTTAATCAAACTGTGGGACATCTACACCATGGAATAGTCCTCAGCAATGAAAAGGAACAGACCACTGGCACATGGAACAACTTGGATGAATCTCCAGGAAAGTATGCTGCCAAGTGGATAAAGCCAGTCCCCAAAGGTTACATACTATGAGTCCATTTATATGACATTCTTGGAACGACAAAATTATAGAAATGGAGAACAGACTTGGTTGCCAGGGGTCAAGGACCATGGTGGGGGTGGGAGGGGAGAGGTGGTGTGACTATAAAGGACATGAGAGATCCTATGGTGGGAATGTCCTATAACCTGATGTGACTCATGTCAATACCCTGGTTGCGACATTCTCGTTTTGCCAGATGTTACCCTAGGGGAAAACTGAGTCTGCGGTACGTGGAATCTCTCTGTATTATTTCTTACAACTGCATGTGAATCTACGATTATCTCAAAATAACAGGATTTTAAAAAAAGAAACATGAGGACTCTCTGTTTGGGCTTAGTTTGATATAAGCCCAAACAGAGTAAATGGAGTAAAAGATGTATAATTTGGGAAAAGACTAAAATAACTATAGGAGGATTCTAAACAGCTTGGTGACAGTGATATGTCTTTTTCTTTCTATATTCCCAGACAGTACTTGACCGCAATCATAACCTCGCCCATAGAAACACTAAATAATTTTGTTTTATGTGTTATTATTAGTGTGGGATAGAAGTCGCCTTGTCAAGCAGTTTAATTTATGAATGTAATGTAAGTCACATATGTATGACAATAGACAACACAAATGTGGTTCTGTGTGAACAAGCCAATATTTTCTGAAGGGAGATGATCTTTGATAACATAACAAAAACACATCAGGGTCCTTTATCATAATATTGGGTTACATAGTTGTGTTTCTCTCCCGTATGTTTTTGTGTGTTAGCTTGCTTTTTGTCTTACCCTGCAACTACATTCATTAGCACAGGAAGCAGGGGTGGTGTAACTCCTGTGTTCTGAGAAAAATGTTCATACCCATATTTCTGGGTCCTTCTGGGCCCCCTAGGAAGTCCACAGAGGGGAATGGGCAGGGTTCCCTACTTCCTGCAACTTCCACCTCGGGCAACTTTTTTTCTATCTATTTTACACGTTGGGTTCACGTAAGATTTGGTTTAAGAACAGATTCCATTGCTTTACACAATGTTGGCAAACCACCAGCGGCTCCTGTCTGAGTCTGCTGCCGCAGGGCTGAGGTTGCAGTGGGGGACCCAAGCCTCCGGATGCCTTGTCTGGGAGGATAGCAGAGAGGCTGAGAGGAGACGTGAGCGGTGTCTCGTGTCACTCTTTCTCTCCGACTCCTGCCCCTGCCAGTAGAGTGTCGCTCTTTGCCCAGTGAGGACAGAGTATGTCTGGGGCAACACCACGCCATTTCAATGTAGAACAATGAACCAGTGGGAGAGGGATTTTTTCAGAGAAAATACTTTTTCTTTTCAAAGTCTCAGTGTGTGTGTGTGTGTGTGCGCACGCGTGCACACGTAATATAATATATGAGTAATATAAGGTATGAGGGCCTAATATATGAGTAATATAAGGTGGCGAGGTGATTGATCAATTGGTGAGACATGCCCCTGGAGAATATAAATGAACAAATGCGTTTCGCACGAGCAAATGTGCAAAAGCAGTGTTTGAAAGGAATTTATGAAAATATTTGGGGGTCCTAGTTCAGTATTTGGTTCAATAAATAATTGACTCTTGGTGAATAATTAATTACAAAATAATTTCTAATAAAATGGCATGAGAATCATTAAATCTGTAAAATTTCATCTGGCTAATTCCATGTTCCAATAGGACCAAGGTGTCCACCAAAAGGCAATCCACTAGGTGGCTCTGGAAGTGAGCCCAATAGAAGTAGTGACCAATTTCTCTTTCCCACCCAACTCCAGCAGTGCAGTTGTGATGTGTGGCATTTCCATGTTCTCTCAAAGAACTCTCAAAGAGGGGTGAGTGCTGGAAAACTAGCTGTTCTTTGGTGGCAAAAAGCTCCCCTTTGATACATTGAAGCTTCATAAAACCTTTCCAAGTCCCCTCAGCGCTGACATCAGGCACTAGAACCTGCCTTCAGCGCTGCAGAATGGTAGACAGAGAACTTTTTTTTTTTTTTTTTTGAGACAGAGTCTCACTCTCTTGCCTGGGCTAGAGTGCCGTGGCGTCAGCCTAGCTCACAGCAACCTCAAACTCCTGGGCTCAAGCGATCCTCCTGCCTCAGCCTCCAGAGTAGCTGGGACTACAGGCATGCACCACCATGCCCGGCTAATTTTTTCTATTTTTAGTTGTTTGGCTAATTTCTTTCTATTTTAGTAGAGATGGGGTCTTCCTCTTGCTCAGGCTGGTCTCGAACTCCTGAGCTCAAGCAATCCTCCCGCCTCAGCCTCCCAGAGTGCTAGGATTATAGGCGTTGAGCCACCGTGCCTGGCTGTGAAAGAGAGAACTTAAAAAGAAGAGCATGGTGCCCGCACTACATGGTACCACCAGGAAAGGAGGGAGCTGTCCAGGGCTGGGGCCCAGAGGCTGAGCTTTGGGGATGGATTTCCACTTCCTCCAGTCTCCCGTGGTGCTTAAGGCCTCTTGAACTTGCTGAGCTGAGATTCTCTAGTTGGCAACATTCCCAAAGGCACTTGGATGGTACTTTCTGGGGACTTGGGCTTGGCGTCTTGCTGGGTTTGACCTCAGTGCCTCTGCCCACAATAAGCAGCTCCCTTGGGAGCTCTGCTGTGCCCTATTTGTTGGGCAGGGGGGTGAGACGGGAGGAGGGGATGACAAACAGTAGGAGGAATTAAGCCCTGGCCGTTGATAACCTTTTTCTTCCTAAACAAACTGCTGTTAGGAGTGGACTGAAATTTCCAAATGGCTTGTGGCCATCCACACTACAATTAGGAAAGAAAACCCAAGCAACAAAAACACATCTAGACCGCAGACTAAATCACCACGCTGTTAGAACTCTCCCCCCAAAAAGCACTATCCAGCCAGAACTGATGGCCACATAAGACCGGTCTGGGCTTTCTGAGCTCTCCAAAGGTCTAAGAAAATCCCCAAGATCAGGATGGGTGAGCACAGGCTACCAGGTTGCCACCTGATCTTGTAACTTTGGGTGTGAGGCTGGGATCTTGGATCATTATTGATGTCTTTGGCCCCCAAAGAAAGTTGACAGTTGTGTATCCTCATCCTACCTTGGCCAAATCCAAGGCTGAGCCCTCGGCCAGAGGCTGAAGTGGCACATCGATGTTTGCAGAAGGAACAACATCAACTCAAGCATGTCACTTCCTCAGAGAGCCCCATGGGGACAGCACAAGGCATCTACTGAGATTCCTCTCTCTCCTTCCCCAAGGGAGAGTGACGGGAAGAAAGAGGAGCGAGGGTTAGTTAAAGCTTTTCTGTGCCACAACAGGGCTTCTATTCTGGGGACAAGGACTGCTGAGGCCAAGGATCCTGCCTCTGTCCTGGAACACCTCCCCAGCCATGGGCCCCTTCAGTGGTTTCCTTCCACCAACCCATCCTGAGGTCCAGCCAGGCCCTCAGCGACTCATGTCATTCCATTGTAACTTTCACGCATCCACGTGCTCTGTGGTCCCTGTGCGTGCAGAGGAAGCTCTGGGGAGTGATGTTCCTTTTGCTGTATGAAGATAACTGTGGTCACCCCTCCTGGGGAACTGCATGAGGGACCACTGTCCAGAATCACCGTGGTGGTCTCTCAGTTCTGTGATATTGACTCTGGTTTGGGGTAATAGTTATTGCAAAAAAACCAAAAAAACCAAAAAACCAAAAAAACCCCACCTGCTTTGTCCTCCCAAATGGGTCACAGATGGGCTCTGGGACTTGAGGAAACTCACTCTGGCCTTCCACCTCTTTATCTCTAGAAAGAGAGCTCCCTGGCATCCCTCATTCCTTCCAGTCTGGACACGGCTGATGTGATGAAGTCCAAGCGAGAGTCTGGCATGCTCCCCACTCCTGCAATTCTTAGAAAGGACACAAATAGCGGACATGGTGCTTCTCGCAAGAGTTTATATTTAGAAGCCGTTTAAAAATGAACATGTTGGCCAACTCTCCAAAGTATTCAGGGCACTGCCAGAGCCCATGGTCACCTTGTTCCTGCGAAACAAACTCGGGGCCCCTTCAGGACAGCCATTGGCAGGGGACGGGGTGGCCTACAGGGGTATCAGATTAGGACCAGAATAGAACCCAGACTTCCTGACTTCCAGAACCTTCCAGCACCTCTCCACCACCTACCAGAGAGATGAATGTCCCTTATAGGGGTTGGGCTGAAACAGCACCTGGCACTGCCTTGTGGAAGATGAGCAGCAAATGTTCAACTGAATTATTATTATTCAGAGCCGGATATTTGCTATTTCAAGGACATTGCTCTAGAGAAGTGTCTTTCTTTTTTTTAATTTTGTTTTTTTACTCCAGATGTCCCTGAGATGTCGGTCTCGTAACTTACAATGAGGTAATGATTATGAAAACCGCATTGAATCTCAAATAGACATTCATAAAAACCAGCGTTACTGCAAATTGTGAGACGTGTTTAAAAATCTTGAGAAACTTATGCATGGAACTCACTTTTTTTGCATCCATACTGCTAAACTTTAATACGCTCTGCCTTTCTACTGGAGAGCCACTCCCCGTGGCAGAGGGCTCAGTGACACGGAACATCTGGTGGCAGTTCATCACTTGCCTCTCTTCCTGTATCCCTTTTTCTGAACTTTGAAATAAAACAGCTCTGGAAATGTTACTTAGGGAGAAAATGTCTACTATCCCACCAGGAACTGGTTCATTTTGCTGTGCAGAGTTTGTTTGATCAAATAGCTATGACAGCCACTTACAGTTTTCTTTCTTTCCGTCTGAATACATTTGTCTGCACTACACTTCAAGAGCAAGTGAGAGGGTAAGAAGAGCCTGACTTGACCTTGGATCATTCAAAATGGGCGCAGAACCACCCTGGCCCCTGTATCTCTTCCCTAGCACTTACCTTCTCAGCTACAAGTAGCCTCCACCGCCAAGACAACTTATAAAGCAATTACCTCTTTCCCCTGTGCCTGACACCTGTAACCCAGCCATTTGATTGTGATCTATCTCTTTGGCAACCTAAGATCTAGACGTGGAAACCAATCGATTTTTAAATATTTCGCCCCTTCCTCTAGGCTCTAAGAATAGAAGGACAGTTTCGGTTTTGTTTTTACTGCCTTTATTACATTTTTGCTGCTGAGATACAAACCAACCACTGTCTTCTACCACACACAAAAACACATCCATTCTTGTGATTTTAAAGTGCATTTCCCCTTGAACTTTGTGTACAAAAATATTTCTTTTTTTAAAAACATGCAGAAATTTCTTGACAAGGCACTTTGAGGCACAAAAAATGCAGACGAGTCCCCTGTTCTACATTCACATTGAAGTAAAAGCGAAACATCACAGCTGCATCCACGAAGTCCTCAGGGGCCCAGTGGCCTCTAGGAACCGATCGACAAGACTGTGAAGATGTTCGTAGCTTTGCAAAGTGTGCTGCAATGCTTCCAACCATGCCACGGAAAAACTGCCCGGAACAACAGCTGTCCTTCCGGTTCCAGATGTGTCATCCCACTGCAGGAAATTAAGATAAGCTGCCAAAGTGTCTCTGGGTGACCCTACAAGATACCATTATCCATGTAACTTCTTACCTCCAATGTCAGTGATCCTGGTCAGGAGAGACATGATCAGGAACCCCCCAGAACAAAGAGCCACCAGGTCTCCACCCAGTTGAGGAATTTTATAAAATGAAACAAATGAAAGACAACCAAGGTTTTCATTCCCTGTCCGTTGAGAGGGAAGACCCAGAAAATGGACACTTCTAAGAAAAATTGAACAAACACTTTTTTGGTTTATAAGCAGCCCATTTAACATCCAAGTGACTACAACTGATGCTTGTTTTTAAAAAGCAAATGATATTCAAAGATCAAAACCACCAAGCATTCTCCTAACAGTTCAAACTTTGCAATTTTAAAAAATGTATCCTGTTTTATCACCATTAAAATGAAATCTTAAAGATAAAATCAATTCTACCATTGACTCTTAAAATTGTTGTCCTTTCTGGAGAACTGCATAGCTCTATTACTTCTCAACAGCTCCCTCATAACAAGAATTTTTTTAAAAAAAACCCACTCAAGTGCTTTATATCTTTCAAGAAATATTGAAAGCTTATTCATTATATATCTTTATATGCTCCAGCTTATTTGTGATACCCGATTTGCAAATGCTCCCCAAGGCATTTGGAGGAAGAAATATTAAATGAAAATGAAGTTGCTTCCCCATTTCTAGGCAACTGCGTCTGGGACAGGTGGCTGGTCCTTTTGGGGCAAGGACACTGGCACTGGGGGCCACTTGTCACCATAACATCGGGCTGTCTGAAGGCAAGCTGCAAGTCAGGCTGCAGTGACGTCTCCACCTAAGAAAGCTGTCACTCTCTGAAGCGTGCCGACCTATTTACTGATGGTGGAAGAATGACAGAATCCATCAGTGCGGCTCCTGAGGCCATCTGACAATACCATGGGAAGGAACTGGGCCAAAAGAGAAAGATCGTGTTGAGGGTGGCGGTGGGGGGAATGAGTGGTAAACAGAAGCTAGATAGGAGACAGCATCCTACCCCAGCCACTGAATGACAGCCCTGAGGGGGGAGTCGGGCAAGCAGATTCTTGTACTGGAGAAGAAGGCTCTTTGCAAGCAGGTGAGGACTTGCCTCCCAAGCTGCGCAGTGGGGTTAGCGTCCCAGGTGTGCTGGCTGGGGGCTGGCAACCTGTGCCCCCCGCAATAAAGCTGGGGTGAGCTGAGAGAAAGGAGGGTGGGAGATGGGAAGGTTTATGGCTGTTTTAGAAGAGATACTTATCGCCGAATTACCATATTTCAAACATTGACCTGGGGAATGTGTTAAGATCATTATTACACAAAACTAAACCGACTTTATTCTAGAGTCACTTGAGGCCTTTTTCTTACGAACACAGAATGATCCTTAGTCTGGTAACATGTAAATGACAGTGCACTTTATACCTTTCCTGCATGGGGGGTGAGGGGTGCTTCTTAACACAAAATAAAATTCATGACCTACATGAAATCAGTTTTGCTTCCATTTGAGCTAGATTTATGCTATCAATAGTTCTGATCTCTGATCACCAAATTTATAACATTTAAAGTACTGTCTATATACTTGATACATGGTATGCTTAGATAAAAACATAGTTCTGCCCAATTGCAGCATAAGACAAAAATGTGATTTCCCCAAAAATTATATTATCATGTAATCTCAGAGAGCCACCCACCTGGAAGAGGCACAAAAAACTAAGCACTAGATTGCAGACTAATAACAGCCAGTTTTAGGAACAAGGATTACATCAAACACGGCCTAAGAGCATTTTTAAAAAGTCAAAACATTTGAAAGTTCAAAAATGAAAAAAAAAAAAAAACAAAACCCAAACCCAACCACAAAATTCTAGGAGCCAAGCCACTCAATGCTTGCCTGACAGTAGTGTACGAAGCCACAAACCAGGTCTTTTTTGATTAATCTAGAAAATTCAAGCCCAATAGCTGTGCCTCCAAATCTAGTCAACACTATACTCCTCTTTCTGCTTGTCTTAGCAAAACTCTCACTTTAATAAGATCAGGCAAAAAACAAAAGTCATTTAACCAAACTCCAAAAACAAACAGAAAAAACCCCCAACTTTTTACAAATATGTATGTAAAAATATTTTTAAAACACCCCAAAGTAAAAACCAATCTTGCTCAAGGAAAATCACAGGTTTTTGGGGATCCCATCCGACAATGAATATCCCAACAGTCTCTTTTACAATAACATTAACCAACACACTCCAGTCCAATATGGTTAAGAACAATTAATCTCTGATATTTCAGAGTTGGCAAACATTTAAAACAACATAAGAACATGGTGGGGCTTTTCTCCCCTATCCGTTTACACACTCACATACCATAAATAAGAACACCCAAATCAATGTCCCTGGGTCCTTGTAAAATGTCCTGGATATTGTAAATCACAGTCACAATAAAACCAAACATTTTCCGAAGGCTTTGCAGACATATTGGATCTGCAAATCAAATATCCTAAACACACAGCATAAACGATGATCCTCGCAAACCAGGCAAGCAAGTTCAGTCTTGTAACTGAGCCTTCTGGCTGACTCAGGGTAAAAGTGAGTACTTAGAAAGCTCCCCCCAAAGCCAAGAGGAACAGCTCAAGTGTCCCACTCATGACTGCAATCTCTGACACTGCACAGGAGCCAGTGGCTTTGGATAACTGGTGTGTTGCACTTTGCTGGCATATAGACGTAGGTCAGGAAGAGGGGAGAGGAAATGTCTGCCTCAGTCACAAGCTAATTTGCCCTTATTATCTTTTCCGGAACATCAGCTGAACCGTGGAAGAAAATGAAATGCAAAAAATGAATTTGCAAAATAAAAGGAGCAGCTCCCGTCTCTGTTCTGTAGCTGCATCAGAAATGTGCAACATCGGGTCAGCGTGTCGCAGCACAGAGATGAAATGTGAAGTAGGTGCAGACGTGGAAGAGCAGCAACGTGCAGGAAAGGCCTGGCTGGCGGATGGCACTCAAAGACGAACAGTGAGGGTCTGCTGGGAGGTGGCCGGGGGCTCAGCGACTTCGGGGTGACTCATGTTCCACATCCGACGGGAGAGGAGAGATCTGGCTCCTCCAGCCCCTCAGGCACTGGCGCAGGCTTGGTCCCCATCCAGATTCTTTCTGGAACCATCCTGCTCACACCCTCCTGGTTGCCACGGTGCCAAAGCGGACCAGCACACACCACCTCTGCTCTGAGTGCGAGACCGGTTCTGTGATCTGAACCCGGCTGGATTTGCTGGTTTAAGAGAAAAGTGAACAGGATCCTTCCTTTTCCAAACCTGTGCCTAACGGCAGTTCCGCTTTATTCTTCTCTTGGCGCCCGTCTGCGTCCCTCGGTGAGTGGAGCCCGGCTTGCCTGCAGCAGCTCTGCCACGCTCTGTCACCTGCAGTCCCTAGTAATAGGGCCCTAGCTTTTCGTATCCTAAGTAACTAGGCCACTCTGGAAACAGACCGTAGGAACACCGAGGGCTTCCAAACTGGTCAAAGGATATCCCCAAATCTGGTCCGTTGGGTGGCTGGGCCGGGCCCTGAGCGGATTTTAACTCGGCCCGGATGATCCTGTAGTTCTTGCCTCTGTTGCTGTCCCAGTGCGTCTGGCCGTTGCACTCGTAGCACACGGCGAACTCCATTCTTTCGTAAGACTGAATCTTCTCCGGCAAGCCAATGTCAAAGGAGAACGTGTCCCTGTCCGACCCAGCGTAAGTGTCCTTCACGTACCGACAAGGAAAGTCTGTGAAGCTTTTCCAAGTGTCAAACGTCATCCTTATCTTCACGCTCTTCTCAAACGCAAGGTTCTGAACCTTCACGGTGCCCGCGATGGCCCTGTCCTTCAGCACGCAGTTCTCGAGGCACACGTGGTCGGCCTGCAGCCGATTTCTGAAGTCCAAGTAATCTGCGGCAGGCTGGGAAAAGTCTAGAACAAAGCTCTCGCTCTCTGCTGTCGTCAAGCTCACGATGTTGTCCAGGAGCTCGGTGATGTTGAACGGGATATCTAACGGGTCATCGAACTCGGAGAACACTTTGACCATTGTCAGGGCCAGTCCTTGGTTGTCCGCGAAGGACACCCGCTTTTTCACCTTCTTCTCCTGGACGGCTGGGGCCACCATGCCGCTGGCTTCTTTCTTGCTGCCCAGCTGAATACAAGGTCTCAGGGGTTTGCTTGGCTTTGGCGAGATCTTGAAGGCAAACCTCTCTCGGCGCAAGGAAGGGGCCATGCAGTTGTATCTGTATTCTATGTCCACTGCCATCATGGGGCTAGATGAATAGGCTAGAACCCTGGCAGAAGAGAAAAAGAAAAACAAAAAATAGCAAAGAGATCAGATACATGTGTAAATGCAACATTCTAGCAGGGACTGGCGAACAATGTTTCCTTTCATGCCACCCACGTGGCTATGGTACATTGTTAATTCCAGCTTGGTCCAGCACAACACTGGCTTCGGGCAAGATAAAGTCAAGGGTGGGAGTGTATGTGATGTTCAAGGTTAAAACAAACAAAAGAGTATGAAATCCGCTAGTTGGTTTTAACACCAAGTTACCAGGACTTTTGGTCAGGATTTCCTGGGGCCTTCCATCTGCTCATGGGCCACAGAGGATAATGGAAAGCACATACTGTTTGCAGAATTTCCTGAACTTATTTGCCTAAAGAACCCTTTTATTTTCTGGAGTATCTCTCACAAACAGCCACACTGAGGAATACACTTTGGCAAATACCGGTATTTATTAATCGGCAAGTAAAAACCATATATATATATATGTTTATGGTGTACAACATGATGTCTTGATATATGTTTGCATTGTGGAATGGCTAAATTAAGCTATTTAATATGCATTACCTCACATACTTATTTTTGTGTGTGTGTGCACAAAGAACACTTAAAATCCACTCTTTTAGCAACTTTCAAGAATATAATATATTGTTATTAACCATAGTCACTGTATTGTACAATAGCTCTCTTGAACTTAATTCCTCTCGTCTAACTGAAATTTTGTGTCCTTTGACCAACACCTTTCCGGTCCTCCCTCGCCCCCACCCAACCCCCATTCTCCTCTCTGTTTCTATGAGTTTGACTTTTTTAGATAGCACATGTGAGATCATGCAGTATTTGTCTTTCTGTGCTTGGCTTATTCTACTTAACATAATGTCCTCCAGGTTCATCCATGTTGTCCCAAATGATAGGAGTTTTTCTTTTACATGGCTGAATAGTATTCCACTGTGTATATACAGTACATTTTCTTTATCCATTCATCTGTTGATGGGCACATAGGTTGATTCCATATCTTGGCTATTGTGAATATACTGCACTTAACATGGGAGATAGCTCTTCAACATACTGGTTTCATTTTCTTTGGAGATATACCCAGTAGTGGGATTGCTGGGTCATATGATAGTTTCTTAATTTTTTGAGGAACCTCTGTAATGTTTTCCATAATGGCTGTACTAAGTTACATTCCCACTAACACTATACAAGGGTTCCCTTTTCTCCACACCCTTGCCAACACTTGTTTTCTTTTGTCTTTTTGATTATAGCCATTCTAACAGGTGCGAGATGACAGCTCATTGTGGTCTTAATGGTAAATATTGCTTTAATCGGATAAAAAGAAATGAATTCATCGCACGAATAATGATTTGGTGTTTATTATATGCCAGACATTGTGCTAGACACTGGGCTTCAATAGTGAAGACAGGGTACCTGCCTTCATCAAACTTATGGTAGGTTTTTATATTCCAGGATATCTTTCATTACAAAAGAACCAGCAATTTAGTATTTTTAAATCTTTCACATAGGGGAATATTTGTCTTTTCTACAGGTGAAAATAGCCTCTGCAAGAATAAAAAACAAACAGAATCAAGCTAAAAGAGGTTAAATTTGTGTTTATGAAACTAGATTTTTCTAGAAATGAAAAAAGTAAAACCGAAAAGGTTAAACACAAACTGGGAAAATATTTTTCAAAAAGCATAGCAGCAATTAGTTAATACCTTAATATATAAAGTTTTCTTACAGAGCAATACCAAAGTCAAATATTTCACATAGAAAAATGAATAGGACATGAATAGAAAATTCATGAAAGAAATTTAAAAGTGGCCCATAAATGTCCAACCTTATAATTAATTTAAGAAATTTAGATTAGACACCATGCCTGATTTTACCTATTTAATTAGGAAAAACAAGCTTGGTTTGCCAGCACATATACTACAAATGGAATGATATAGAGAAGACTAGCAAGATGTTTTTTAAAATTAAAAAAAAAAAAGAATTAGGAAAAAATTTAAAAGATAAGACGATTACTTTTATTGATCTAAATTAGCACAACCTTTCTAAATGTTCTTATCACTTTTTGTTCTAATGTCACATAGAGGCATCTATTCTATGTAAATAATTAAAAATGCATGCAGCTTAATGTACTAAAGTTTTCAATGCACTTTAATTTAGCATGCATTCAATCATTAAAACCATTATTTGGGAGAAGATTTAAAAGACATGAAAAAATTGTATAATATATTATTAATGTGAAAAATACAGAAAAAATTGTACTTAGAGACTAGATTTGTGGGGAATACAATACAGTTGATCCTTGAACAACACAGGTTTGAACTTGTGGGTCTACTTATACTTGGATTTTCTTCAGCCTCTGCCATCCCTGACACAGCAAGACCAACCCCTCCTCTTCCTCAGCCTACTCAACTTGATGACAATGACAATGAACACCTTTATAATGATCCATTTCCACTTAATGAACAGTAAACATATTTTCTCTTCCTTATAATTTTCTTAATAATATTTTCTTCCTTCTAGCTTATTGTATTGTAAGAACACAGTATATAATACCTAAAACCTATAGAATATGTGTTAATATACTGTTTATGTTATTGGTAAGCCTTCTGGTCAATTAGTAGTTAAGTTACTGGAGAGTCAAAAGTTATATGTGGGTTTTCAGCTTTGTGGGGGTCAGTGCCCCTAACCCCCATGTTCTTTAAGGGTCAAATGTTATTATGGGCCGGGCGTGGTGGCTCATGCCTGTAATCCTAGCACTCTGGGAGGCCGAGGCAGGCGGATTGCTCGAGGTCAGGAGTTCAAAACCAGCCTGAGCAAGAGCAAGACCCCGTCTCTACTATAAATAGAAAGAAATTAATTGGCCAACTAATATATAGAGAAAAATTAGCCAGGCATGGTGGCACATGCCTGTAGTCCCAGCTACTTGGGAGGCCAAGGCAGAAGGATTGCTTGAGCCCAGGAGTTTGAGGTTGCTGTGAGCTAGTTTAGCAAGATTCTGTCTCAAAAAAAAATATGTTATTACGTAGATGCATAGAAAAAAGACTAGAGATATAGTTAAAAACTGTCAGAATATCTAGGTGACAGGATTTCCGTTTTCTTGGTTTGTATTTTCTTATGTCTTCTCAAATAATATTGCTTCTGTAATCAGAAAAAAATGAATTAAAAAAGACCCTCAAATATTTTGAGATTTGCTAAAAAACCTATTCCACCACTGCTGCCTCATTAAAGCCAAGCACTTTTTATCATTCTAATTACTATAGCAAATTTGTATTTTGATTCAGCAGTTTCAATGGGCTAAACTGAAGTCAGTGACAAAACTGGAATTAGAATCTCAAGTCTGAGAATCAAAGAGCATAGGATCGGGATTAGTTCCTAAACGTGTCTCCCCTCCTTATGACAAAGGTATAGGCGTGTCCTGGCACTCACTCTTAGGAAGCCACTGCAGCCCCTGAGAAGTGACAAGCTCAAAAGCTGGGACCGCTGGTTTGGTCCAATAAATCATCTCTCATTTTCAACGTCTGATTTTGATTAACCAAATATAAAAAGAAAAAATGTTGAAGGACACACACATATCAGGTTTGATCCGTTTTTCCAAAAGTACAGCACTTCTCTAGGATGCAAGAAGCTCTTAGAGATGACCAGCCAGAGAAACACTCAAATTCAGAGTCAAATAAAACAGAATAACTCATGGCCATAAAACCAAGTACTTAAACATTCATTTTAAAGGATATATATCTTACTGTTTCCCCTCTAAAAAAGTCAATCTAGCAAAAATTTTAAGGGCAAATTTGCTTTCTATTATCTGCTCTTCTACCCATGCAATTGTTCTAGAAAGGAAAGTTCTGACTGAATCAGGCACGATGGCTTTACATAGGAATAGTGGGTTGACTAATGGGTTCAATGTAAAAAAAAAAATCCTATATGTACAAATTACTTGCATTTTAGTTCTTCTTGCCCATTGCGAAACTTTATGTTGGAATGTATTAGAGTTATACCTTCAGCTCCCACTTTGACACACGTAGTTTTTGTTTTGTTTTGTCTTGTTTTAAATGTGTATGGGAGGGTGAGTGAGTGAATGAATGAGAAAAAGAAAGAAAAAATAATATGTATGAAAGCCAAATGACAGCTCAAGTCCTGCACCCAGTGCCTCTCACTCTGTCCACCCTTAAAATCCTGGGTGTGAACTGTGGGGGGTGTGGGGGTGGGGGGTGTTTCCTCCTCCACCACTTCCCCCTGGCCTGAGTCAGCATAAGGTCAAGTGCAAGTTCTCTGTGCACCTTCCACCTCATCCGTGCTTTCCCGCACACTAGAAGAAGTAAACTCTCAAGATACTGTAGAAGAAGAATTCCACAGTGAAGGGATCAATGAAAGAGTCCGCACACTTGCAGCTGGCTAAAGCCACTTTCCCCAGTTCTAATCCTACAGGTTAAGGAAACTTAGATGAAGACCTCGGTAAACTTTCTCTGTTTGGACCCAGTGGTGTAAATTTGTCCTGAGGTCCCTTTTATCACCAAGCTGTAAGAAAACGTGGAATGGGGGCTGGGGAGGTGAGGCTGTAGCCGGAGCCAGAGCTAATCAAACAATTCCACCGGTGCTTCCGTGAGCCAAACTGCTTTTGCAAAATTCTTCCATGAGAGGCAAAAGTAAGGTTATGCTGGCCCGAGAATTACCATGAGGGCAACTACCCCAGGGACATTGCACAAGAGTCCCTTCGCTTTTTGTGTGCGTTACCGTAACTGCAGGTGAGGACATTAACCCCTGTCACCTCAGTTTGGGGTCTGACTTGTCTGTCGGCCACCTTGCCTGTCCTCACAGGTAGATTCCAGCTTTTATTAATCTGATTTTTCTCTAAGAATCAGTGCCCCAAAGAGCTGGTTTGCTGCAGGCTTTCCCGACCTGCTCAGGAGTCCCCCGACAGACTGTGACCACGACAACGACCACCTACAGGTGCTCCTAGCTACTGACATATACAAAGTAATACTTTCTTAAGTCGCTGGAAGGAAGGCACCTGGACAGGTGTTTCATTTGCAAATGACATGAAAATGATCAGTTCCAACACAAGATGCACCAGGCTGCACCTCCAGCCTCCTAACAGAGTCTCTGGCAGCTACACCAGGCCAGGAAGAATATCTGTCACCAAGGTTGGTCAGGGGGGGAAAAAGAATCAGAAGATATGGATCCATGTTTGATCAGCAGAGCAAGACACAGGATCTGGATACCAGTTGCAAGACAGGAACATGAGCACAGGAGTGCTGGGCCCTCGGCCACTATAAATTCTCAAATACTTTGCTCCCATACAGATGCCTCAGAGATCAGAGATAAATTTTCCCTGATGGGGGACAGGGCCATGCCTGAGGGTAGATTTCAGCATTCAAGTTCAAGGCTAAAACAGGGCGAACTCTTAACACGCCAGGAGAACTGTAGAGCATATGGAGAGTTTTGCATAAATGCTTTCTCTGTTCCACTAGTGACAAGCAACACGTCTTCTCAAGCCTGCCAAGGTTAGGCACCCATGGTGATTGTTCTTGTGAAAACTATAGACAGGTACAGAAATAACCCCATGACATTCACAGTTTCAGGCAGCTGAGCTACTGACTTTCTGGCTGTGCCTTTTACAGAAAGCAAATCTTTTTTGCATTGGAGCCAAGAGATTTTCCCCTCCATTCTCTCTTCTCTCCTTTTTTTTTTTTTTTCTGATAAGAAAAGACGGAAAAATCAGACGCATGCACAGCCCACAAGGAACACTGAAAACTGCCAAAGTGCTTTAGGCAAGCATTCACAACGAAGTTAGAATATTATTAAGACTCGGCCATCTCGCTCCCTTCAACAATTCTTTATTTCCACCCCAAAGGCCTGACTGATACAGTATGGACAGAGTGGACATCTTTTCCCTTTGTACTCGGACCCTGGGGCCCTTATTCAACAGCCTTAAAAGTTACTTGTGCCCTTTGAGCCTGTCCCCTTCATCCAAAGCATCTCTGAGATAAATATTTGAGAATGACGCTGCATGTTCTACCAAAGAGGTAAGTTAGAATGACACACAGTCCCTGCCATCTAAAAACAAACAGCATTGGCCTAAGAAGCGGTGCAGCTAGCTGTGCCACTTGGGCGAGTCACTCGACTGCTCTGGGCCTGAGGTTTCTCCTCTGAGGTCCCTGATAGCTCTGACAGTCTATGTTGCTAACAATGCCTGGTGGCGCTTCTCTTCCCACTAACTTTTCCCTCAATACCCCAATTTTACTTCTGCGGTAAGTCCTCCAGCTGTCTTCCCTTTTGCTTCGGCTCCTGGACAAACCCGCCGAATGAACCGTTTCCTCTTCTCCTCTTCCTCCGGCCCAGAGCCCTAACTTTCTCCTCTGCGGGACCCTGGGTCTCCCGGGAGGCAGGGCCACAGAGCCACAGACGACAACTTCCAAGGACACCTTCCAACAACTCTCGGAGTTCCCAAGTCCAGTCTTTCCTTCGTGGACGCCTCTTCTTAAGAAAACAATGGCACGACGGGCCCCCGTCTTCTAGTATGTTGTTCTAGGTCCCCACTGGTGTGTCACAGCTACTGTCCCTCCCACGCCACTTTCTCTGGGTTGCAAAGGGCGGCACGAACAGGGCGCCCGGGGCAGGCCGGTGCGTCCAGGCTGGAGGATCCCACAAGTCACTCCTCGACCCCGTCCCTTCAGTCCTCGCCATCCCGCCCCCACGCTCCCCGCGCGAGCCGGGTCGCCGTCGCGGTGCACCCACCTTCTGGGCCGCGGAGGAGCCCCCGCCCCAGCTCGCCCGCCGCATCAGAGCTGCCGCCTACGTGAGCGTCGGGGTGTCCGGGAGGCAAGGTCTGGGCTCCGTTCCCGGAGATGTGACCGGCAGGGGGAGGGAGACGACGAGGAGGAGGAGCCCGAGATATTGCACCGGGGCGGGGCGCCCGGGCGGGCGGCGGCGGGGCCACCCCGGACACAGCGCGCAGCACGAGCACCCCCGCGCGGCCGCCTGGGACGCCCCCCGCCCCGGACGGCTTTGCCTGGGGTCCGGGGCCCGGGGCTGGCCCTATGTCCCGTCGCCCTCGGCGACCGGAGAGACTACCAAGTGTGTTTCCTTGCGTTTAGGGGAAACTTTCCCTCAGGGGGAAACTGAGGCCCGTTGCTCCAGACCCCACCGCCCAACTCCAGAGACATCCTCCAGAAGTGCCAGATCCCAGGCCAGACACTTGTGCCGCCTCCGAGCCCAGGACAAGCGGGGCCAAGGCAGGGTATCAACAGTCCCAGCCCTAGCCCTGGCCACCCCTCGCGCCCGGCCCCGCAGCCCGGCGGCACACGTGGGTCGGACGCGGCTCAGCCCAGCTGCGGCCCCGGGTCGTCCTCTCCACGTGGAAGCCACAGCGTCCTGGGGCCGGCCTGGAGGACTCCACCCCCGTCGTGTCACTGCGAGTCGGACGGCGAAAGCGTAGGTGTCCCTGGCGCCGCACCCCGCAGTCGAGGCTCGACGGGGTACGTACGTACCGGTGCGGCTCCCAAGTCCCGGGGCGGCATCCGCGCAGGGGGACGGGGCAGCGGCCGCGACGGCAGCAGTGGGAACGGGCTCAGGTCGCACCAGGACTCGCGCCGCCCGCGGCCGCGCTGCCCCCTTTAACTTTCCGGCCACCTCTCCGGCCGCGGGGTCCCATCCCAGAGCCCCCTTCACGTGAACGCGCCCCGCAGCCAATGGGCGCGCCCGGGACGCGGGCCGCTGACCAATGGGCGCGTAGGCCGGCCCCGGGAGCACCGCTCCGCCGCGTGATCGGCAGCGCGCCCGGAGTGCCAGGCGGCAGGCCAGGGGCTGGGAAGGGGGCGGTGGGTCACCGTTTCGTCAGGAGCCCGGGGCCGGGCGCCAGGGGCAGAGGCAGTCCCCTTGCAGGAGAGGGCTTTTTATAAAGCCGGTATTGGGGCAGAGGACCAACACCCATGGCACTGAGTGCCCCAGATAACTTGAGTTGCTCAGGTAGGTTTATCTGAGAGACGAACTGACTTGAATCTGTTATGATAACTACTGAAATCTACAGGGCCTCTGTGACAACTCCGGTGCACCTTGAGGTCTACATGGAATGATGACCTCGAAAAAAAACCTAAGCAAAAAAAAAAAAAAGAAGAAGAAGAAGAAGAAACTCTCTTCTTAGGAGAGTTTGGATCAGAGGATCCTCCTCCCATAGGAGATCAATTTATATGTAAATTGATCAGAGCTAGCCACCTTAGGGATAAGGCTCCCAGTTTTCTAGTTTTAATGACCAGTAAACTTTTAGAAAGACTATTGAAAACAGATATAGGATTGCCAGCTTTTTAAAGTGCCAAGGAAAGACATTGAATTTAAACAAACCCTACCGTGTTCTATTACCATCTATTTATTTATTTATTTATTTATTTTTCAAGTACCCTTTAAGGGCAATAAGAACAAAATGCTGGAGGGGCTTTAATGTCAGACAAAGGCCCTTCCTTCGCATTGGATATATTAGCCTTTAGGAGAATTCATCATGTTGAATATGGCATTTGGGAATGTGTGATTTAAGGGATGTAAGGTCAGCTTCCAGTTTTATTAGCAATGCAAGTCTTAACACTAACTGGTTGCAGTAATTCCATGTAAGCCTTCAGCTCTATAGAGCTTCCCCAGAAGTCTTCCCCTAGGAAAGATGAAGGCTGATCATTAGTCCTCTTCCTTCTTCTCCTAGACGGGCAGATCTGATAAAAGACCACCTGGGAAATCATAAGGTGGTAGGCGGTTGGCAAGTAGCATTTCTTTTTTTTTATTTTTATTTTATTTTTTTATTTTTTTATGTTTTTTGTTGATGTAGAATTTTGCATTGTAGTCAAGTAGCATTTCTATGCAATATTCCCTGTGCCAACTTTATTCCCCCTCTTGTTAACTGAATGAGTAGGTTGGAAATTTTTAAGCCAGGTGCTGGCTAAGTTTTTCTTGAGTGTAGTGAGCATGCTCAAAGAGTGCACAAAGACCAAGAGCCAATAGGTATTGCAAAATGTATGCAGGCAAAGGGTGATCTGAACCAAATTGGGAAGGAGTTGGGACAGTAAATACAACTTTAGGGAATTAGGGTTTGGAAGCCTTTTTCCTACATAGATCTAGGAAACCATGGGCAATAATTTCCCCCTGTGGTTTAGGTGACTATTTCAGACCAGCAGAGTGGGGCTAAACTTAGTTGTGGCACACCACAGCCTTGGTAGGTAGGAGTGTGGCATCTGTGAGTTTGAAAAGAGTACAGTCTTCTTTGCAATCAGAATAGAGCTGGGGTGCAAGCTTGGGGTGGGACAAGGGGAGACTGTCCCAGCAGGAGACACAGCAGTCTGGAACCCCAGAAGCTGAGAGCTGGACTCATCATCGGATACTATCTTTGCTTCACCTTCTCATTTTATGGCAAAAAACAGTGAAAGTGAAAATGAAAAATTTCAACCCTTTACTCAATGCACACCGAATTCCTTATATAATATCTGGCATTGGATTTTAGCCTTCATTTGATTTAATACCCTCCCCCACAAACCAGGAAACAGTAGTAGCTAAGCAGAGCTAATTATTCTTCTTCCATAAACTGTCCTTTTTTCATGGCTATCGGTGGTAGCACTGTCTTCTTCCTTGGACTTAAGCTCATCTGTGGCTCCTCCAGTTCTCTCTTATTCATTCATTCATTCATTCATTCATTCATTCATTCATTCATTCATCACATTGAGTAACCACCATAAGCCTGAATGCTGGAAATGGAAAAATGAATGAAATAGAATCTTACCCCAAGAAGCTCATAGACTAATAAATAATGATTTGAGATAAATATATGAAAGGTGAGTCTCTGTGTTTGGGGAATTAAGAGGAAGATTCTGTGTGTTTTGCAGCAGGAGTGGCTGAAGAATGGGGGAGATCAGAGGACACTCCCAGAGTGACCATTGAGCAGGGTACTGGGAGGAGGAGTCAGAGTCGAGAGGCGATGGGAGGGAACATGGCAAAAATCGGCAAAGACTGCAGAATTCTATAGATCCCCCAAAGAATTGCCACTCTGCTGATTAAAACTTACGTCCCCTTTCTGGCTTAAATATTAGACAATGTTCCTTTATATTTGTGTTAACGTTAGCTTTCTGCACATTCAGAAAGTCTTTTCAAATACTGCAAATATTTTATCTCTTTCTCAACTCAGTGCAAAACAGCTCAAACCGAGGTCGTTCTATTCTCAGGCAAGATTCTGGAAGAGAAATTGTTATTTTTTTGAGTTTTAATGTTGCTTCTCTTAGGACGAAAATTATTGCAGAATTAATCTAAATAAAAATAACCAGCATCAGAAGTCAGACTCAAGAAGAGAGCATTCTTCTGCTTGATCAGAATAGAAAGTGGGAAAGACTGTTTCCAAACTGCCTAAGTCAATTTATATTTAGACGAGTGGAGTTGTTTGCACCTGTCAGAGCCGCAGACATGTTCTGGCGCGTCATGTTACCTGGGGCCCGGCTGCCCCTCTTTCAGATTCGACTGACACTGGCTTGCGAGGTTGTGTTTTATGGGGACAGGCAGACGAACATGCACAAAGGAGCTCTATAAGCCTCTGTGTATGGAGAATGTGTGCTTAGCCTATGAGAAAATCTTGAGCAGTTTACCCGCCAAATCTTCTAGAGCCCACGAGAGCTTTGTTAATTTGTTTTTCTCATTGTTTAGGCTTTTGAGTTCCCGGGTGAGGTTGGTAGAGAGATCACTCTTTTATAAAGCTAAGTGACTACAGAGCTGCTTTTATTCCACACCTTCATACTTTATGCAGTGCTTTTTGTATGAGTTTCATAGCATTTCTTTAATTTGTATTGTTAATTATTTTTTATGATTACAGTTGACCTTGAACAACTAGGGGGCTGGGCTGCCAATCCTCTGCACAGTCAAAAAAAAAAAAAATCTCTGTATAACTTTTGACTCCCCCCAGACTTAACTACTAATAACTTACTGTTGACTGAAGGCCTTACTGAAAACATGCACAGTCGGTGAACACAGATTTTGTATGTTACATCTATTGTATACCATATTCTCACAATAGAGTGAGCTAACGAAAAGAAACTGTTATTAAGAAAATCCTAAGGAATGACAATAGATTTACTGTTCATTAAGAGGAAGTGGATCACCCCAAAGGTCTTCATGGTCATTGTCTTCACTTGAGTAGGCTGAGCAGGAGGAAGGAGAAAAAGGGGTTGGTTTTGTGTCAGGGCTGGGTTGGGGGGGCGCAGAGGTGGAAGAAAAACCGAGTGTAAGTGGAGCTGGGCAGTCCAAGCCCGTGTGTTGTTCAAGGGTCATTTGTATGAAACTAACACAAGGTCATTGTAGACATCGTGGAAAATATAGGAAAATATAAAGATGAAAATAGAGTCCCCACCACCCGGTAGTAACTACCGATGTAATTCACTGTATTTTCTTTCAGTATTTATTTTGTGCATAAACCATTTATTATCAGGATCATAGTATATATATATCTATATCTATATATATATCTATATAGATATAGGTATAGATATGGGTTAATATCTTAATTTTTATTCATGACCGTTTCTCATTCTAAGCGTAATAGTATTATAGTTTTTCTGACATATGCTTTTTTTTTTTTTTTTTTGGTGAGACAGAATCTCGCTCTGTCACCTTGGCTAGAGTGCAGTGGCATGATCATAGCTCACTGCAACCTCAAACTCCTGGGCTCAAGTGCTCCTCCTGCTTCAGCCTCCTGGGTAGCTGGGACTACAGGTACATGCCACCACACCCAACTAATTTTTCTATGTTTCGTAGAGACGGGGTCTTGCTCTTGCTCAGGCTGGTCTTAAACTCCTGACCTCAAGTGATCATCCCACCTGGGCCTCCCAGAGTGCTAGGATTACAGGCATGAGCCACTGCTCCTGGCCTGAGATATGCTTTTTAATGGCTGTATAATTTTCTTTTATGAAGAGAGACCATACTTTATTTAACTGTTTTCTTACTGTGGGACACTTGGATTTTTCCCCAAATTTTCTCTAGCATAAATATACTTTAATAAGCATCTTCATATTTAAATATTTGTCCACATACCTGGTTATTTCCTATAACCCTATTTTCCACAGAGTATGGACATTCTTTTTTTTTTTTTTTGAGACACAGTCTCGCTTTGTTGTCCAGGCCAGAGTGAGTGCCGTGGCGTCAGCCTAGCTCACAGCAACCTCAAACTCCTGGGCTCGAGTGATCCTTCTGCCTCAGCCTCCCGAGTAGCTGGGACTACAGGCATGCGCCACCATGCCCGGCTAATTTTTTTATATATATATCAGTGCCAATTAATTTCTTTCGATTTATAGTAGAGACGGGGTCTGCTCTTGCTCAGGCTGGTTTTGAACTCCTGACCTTGAGCAATCCACCCGGCTCGGCCTCCCAAGAGCTAGGATTACAGGCGTGAGCCACAGCGCCCGGCCTGGACATTCTTCAGACCTGATTCATATTGCCAAATTATTTTCATTTGTTTGTTTGTTTGTTTTTTGAAACAGGGTCTTCCTTTGTTACCTGGGCTGGAGTGTAGTGGTGTCATCATAGCTCACTGCAACCTCAAACTCCTGCGATCCTCCTGCCTCAGCCTCCCAAGTAGCTGGGACTACAGGCACTCACCACCATGCCTGGCTAACTTTTTCTATTTTGTGTAGAGATGGAGTCTCGCTCTTGCTCGGGCTGGTCTCGAACTCCTGAGCTCAAGAAATCCTCCCTCTTTGGCCTCCCAAAGTGCTAGGATTACAGGCGTAAGCCACTGTGCCCAGCCCCAAATTGTTTTTAGAAAGGTTAGTATTGATTTTTTCATCCCTGCTACTGGGGAAAATGAAGTTAAATAGTTCTAGAAGGTCTTGTGTGTGGACTTTGGGCAAATTATTCTTTATCTTGCAAAGAAGCCATATGAAAATTTTTACTAATGGATCATACAGTCTATTCCTTGGGTGAAAATAGCTGCACACCTTATCTTTTACTTTAGTTTTGAATCTTGAAGTACACAGCCAATTTGTGTTATGAATGGGGACTTAATAGCACATATTATTGACTTAAATGGTATTAAGTGATGGCTGACCATCCAAAAAGTGGAGAAGCTAGAGACTGGGGAATACCACCTTGCCACAGGCTTCAAAAGCATTAGACAGAACCCAGTATATATTTATATTCTTTGCTCATTCACTCTCTGTTCCTGACTAGTGTGGTCATAAATTATATTTAAACCTGTAACTCTATAGACATGTGATGCAACATAGAGCAAAATTGCATCCAGAATTTCATGACAAGTGGCATGCATTTCTGGGAGGAGAAAAATATGTTGAGCTGCCTTTAGGATTGTGACCCCTTGGCTATTGCATGCCTGGTACCTTAGGTCTGGGATGTTTCTGTTGCATGCCTCTGAAGTCAAAGGACGTAGAGACTGCAACAACTCAGGGTTTGTATAAGCAATTGTATTTCAGCTGGTTCTCTCCTGATATTTACAAAACTGCCTGGAGTGTACTTAGGAACACGCAATGATATCTATTTATATTAAGAAAACAATGACTCACTGGAGGGATGAAGGAAAGCAAACTAAGTTTTCGTGTCCAGTGATTCCTAAATGAACACCCCACTGTATTTTCCAGCAGTCTTTAATTTTCTGTCACTCCTCTTTTTCTTTGAAATCTTGAGTCAGAAGCTAACTGACTTCATGGTTTTCCTCGCCATCATTTGATACCCTCTAGAGAATTATGACTTAAAGAAGGCATTCTTCCTTCTCGAAATCCATGTTAGAAATTTCTCCACGCAGAGCCACGGGCGGTTTTTGGTGTTCGAAGTGAGCAGTTAAAAGTGGAAGTCACATGTGTTGAGAATATTCCTCTTCTGCCCCTTGCCCTGCTTGTGTGCCCCGAGGGGACACAAATCTTGGAGGGCAGCGGGGGAGCCATCGTCTAATGAGGTTATTATTTCCCTACGTATAATAAAAACGCAGAGGACAATAGCGCATTTGTTTTGAAGGCTACTCAAGTTTATTATAAAATTATACTTCACCAGAAACAACAACCCGATAACTAACTGTGAGTATGAGTCTTGCTTGGTATATAGCCAGGGCTATAAAATACACAAAGCCAAACTTGGCCATTGTTTCCATCTAAACTTTAGAGATTGCTATAACGATATATTCAGCCTTAACAAAAATGATGTGGCATGATTCCCATTTTCTTCCTGTTAATTCCTTGGTCATCTTCAAATGCAAAATCTCCCCAATGCAGAGTCCTTTGTCTTCTCTTATTTTTCTTATGTCCAAAAAGTATAGTGATTTAGCCTTTCTTCCTCAATTTTGACACTTGTGTTTTTCCCTTCCTTCCTCTTTTTTTTTTTTGTTTTTGGTATTGCTCCTTAGTTTATAAAGACTAGAAATTTCTCTCATAAGATGAATAAATGAGTAATTCTCTTTCTCACTTTCCTTTCTTAGAAATTTTCATTATTCATCCATGTTTCGGAACAATCCCAACACATGAATTATAAGCAAAAGAAACCTATTACAAAATATATGAGGAAGTTTCTGACTCAACTTCCTGCTGAAATTCCTAGGAAGACAGAGACGAAGATGAAGGCTCAGTTAACCCTCGTATCCGGGAGATGATGAAACATAGCGGTTCGGAGTTTGGACATCCTGTGGTCCTGGAGGAGAATGTTGATTCCGCCGCAGTAGGAAGCTGTCGACCTTGAGAAAATGACCTACCAACTTTGTGCCTCTGTTTCCCAATCTGTAAAATGGGGATTCCAATGCCTGCCTGGTGGGGGTAGGGGTGGGGGTTAATCTGAGGATTTCCTACAACAGTATTTATGTATAACCAGGATGACTTGCTTCACAAAACCCACGCAAAACCCATGCAAAACCCATGCAACAAAAGGCACATTTCTTGATTATTCTGAATGTTATATCTAATACCATAAAGTCTGGATCTGAACCCTCCACTTTCCGAGGCCTGCAAGAAGCTTGGTAGCAGTTGGCTTATGCAGCTCACAAAAACTGGGAACAGGCCCTTTGTTCTTTTTTTTTTTTTTTTTTTTTTTTGAGACAGAGTCTCGCTTTGTTGTCCAGGCTAGAGTGAGTGCCGTGGCGTCAGCCTAGCTCACAGCAACCTCAAACTCCTGGGCTTAAGTGATCCTTCTGCCTCAGCCTCCCGAGTAGCTGGGACTACAAGCATGCGCCACCATGCCCGGCTAATTTTTTATATATATATTTGTTGGCCAATTAATTTCTTTCTATTTATAGTAGAGACGGGGGTCTCGCTCTTGCTCAGCTGGTTTTGAACTCCTGACCTTGAGCAATCCGCCCGCCTCGGCCTCCCAAGAGCTAGGATTACAGGCGTGAGCCACAGCACCCGGCCTGGCCCTTTGTTCTTTGACTCTGTGGTCACTGCCCTCAGGACTGCTCCTTCTGCAGACCAGCCTCTGTGGAGATGGAGCTGTCACCACCCTCTGGAGCTGCTGCTAGAGGCAGGCTTTGGTGACGCCCAGTTAGCAGTCCCGATGTGAAGTTCATGCACCCCTGTAGTGAAGCCCCTTCTAGAATGTCGCACTTGGGCAGGGTGTCAGTTTCCATCATCTGCAGAAACTTCGGTCCCATAGCTCACAGATCCTGGGGATTCACCCCCTTTCTGGGCTGGATCTTTCTGCCAACCCACAGAAACCCCAGGCTCCATCCCCTCCTGCTCTCCTTGGCCCCTTTCCTGGGAGGATCCAGAATCCCCAAACAAAGGCTTGTATGGAGGCAATTTCTTGAGAGTTTTCTGGAACACGAATGAGCTGTCAGCACTTCTTTGAGGCTAAAGAGCCAAGACCTTAGAAAACAAAGACCTGTCTTTCCCTCCGGTGGTGGGAAGTGCTGGAGTGAGTGAGAATGTAACACAATTCACATGCTGACATGTTTGGAAACTATTAAGCACACGGCAAATATTCCAAAGGCATCACTAGTTTGCCAGATACCCCCTCAATTGAGAGTAGGTGAGCAGACCTCTGAAATAGGTTTCCTACAGAAAACAAAAAAGGAAAATTTAGGTCGGTGCAGTGGCTCATACCTGTAATCCTTGTGTTGGAGCAGAAAGCCTAGTAGATGCTCACAGCGCAGCTGGAGAAAGATTTTTCATGCAGAGATTAAGATATAAAAGTAAAAAAAAGTTTATCTTCTTAGGAGACAGGGGGAGAGACAGGGAGAGGGTGGGGAGAGAGAGAGGGAAAGAGAACAGGGAGAAGGCATGGCATCCCAAAAAAAGAGTTGGGACTGGAAGCCAGCAGTGAGGCCAAGTGGCTTGCTAATTTTTGGAAGACAAAGAGAAAGGAAAAAAAAATAGTGATTGTTGTCAGTTGAAACAGAAATGGCTGTGGAGCAATTAGCAGGCAGTTTGGAGACATCAAGTTGTTCACCTTTCTTGTTTTTTCTGTTCCTGGAGACTTGGTTATCTCTGAGATGTAGTCAGGCTTATCACAGGAGATGTGATTTTGTCCCTGAGATATGGTTTTGGGCAGGAAACCAAGGCCTGGAGTTTGTCCCCCTGCTGTTCCTTGGGAACTTCTTAGGAACACCTTGAGGCTATAAAACAAATTCTAAAAGCAGTTTCTGGGAAATGTAAAGAGAAAGATTTGCATTTGGGTCTCTTTTCAGATGTTTGTGAAAAACAGAGTCCATGCAGGGAGCCTGCTAGCTAGGGAGAGCAGAGAGGAGCAAGAGCTCAAGGATTGGTCTTTAGATGTTACTGGAAAAATTGTAGGATTTGATATTTTCCTGTTATTTTTGCAAGGCTGCCCCTTTCACTAGCACTCTGGGAGGCAGAGGCGGGAAGATTGCTTGAGCTCAGGAGTTCAAGACCAGCCTGAGCAACAGCAAGACCTCATCTCTGCAAAACATAGGAAAAACTAGCAAGGCATAGAGGCGTGGGCCTTGTAATCCCAGCTACTTGGGAGGCTGAGGCAGGAGGACTGAGTGAGACCCAGGAGTTTGAGGTTGCTGTGAACTATGATCACACCACTGCACTCTAGCCCAGGTGACAGAGTGAAAGTCTGTCTCAAAAAACAAAAAAAACAACAAAAAAAAGAAAATTTTAAAAATATCTTTGACAACAAGTAGACATGGTCTGAGAATTATGGAAAACCATGCACAGAGAAAAAACTCAGATGAAAAGTTAGGAAGAAAAGATATAAAGAGAGATGAGACAAGAATGGATGGCAGAAAAAATGCAATGAAGGAATTAAAATCTCTCATGGAGGTAGAAATAAGCAAAACTGGCAGTGTGGAAAATGGAATCATTGGTTTGGAGGTTAACCTTGAGAAGTCTTCCAGGATGGACAGGAAGAGAACATAGAGTTATAAATGATGAGGGAAAATAAGTAGATACTGATAGATAAAGAAAATGGGAATCCAATTTAAGACTTACAGTATTACTAACAAAGAAATAAGAACAATAGAAATAAGTAGCAATAATGTTATTGAAGAAAAGTTTTCTAAGTTGGAAAAAGACCAGAGTATATTGACTAACTGGATGCACAAATTCCAGGTAAAATCAGCTTTTAAAAACCCAACCTTACATGCATATGGACAACATTTTTAAGTTACAAAGACCAAAAAAAAAAAAAAAAAGAGAGAGAAAATGCTGCAAATATCCAGGCAGGAAATAACCACCCTACCTCAAACAAATTATGCAGGAAGAAGAAACACCGGACTGACTTCTCACCTCTTTGCAGTACTCATGATCAGAAAACAATGGAGAAGCATCTAAAAGAATTATATATTCAGCCAAGTTGACTTTTGTGTGTGCATGACCTTGCTTCCTAACATTTCCCGGTTTTTTTCCCCATATTTCTCCCTACATTACAAAATATAGCAATGAGACTGATTAGTATTCACAAAGAGTAGATATTATATCTTACCCACTATGATAATCTCAGTTTTTTCGTGCGATTCTAAAATCACATGTAGACACCCATTTTATGCCTCACCATCTCTGTGCATTTTAATGATCCTCTGATCTGGCAGTGGTCGTGTTATTTGCTGCTGAGAACAGAGGTCTCCCTCCCAGTGGCTTTTCTCTAACCCGCCTCTCCCACTCCAGAGGTGGCCCTATTGTTTGCCTGGCCACTGGGAATTTATACTTTATGGGCGTAGTGTTTGCTCAGGTGGAAGAGCTAGACACACCAAGTCTTTACTGCTTAATTTTTTCCCAAATGTCAAGACTTTAGTTTATAAATCATATCAACAAGCCACAGGGTGTTAGAGTTCAAAGGACATTGTGTCTTCTAGTCTAGCAACCTCAGTTTCCAGGTGAGGACACTGGACGTCCAGAAAAGGGTCATCACTTGTGTAGAGTCACAGATCCAGATACTGTTTGAGTTGGGTCTCGCTAGGCTCCTGGTTTTTCTGTTCCCACTGCCAGGCTGACACTGATGGGCAGGATTTAATGACAGGCTGACATGAGCCAGTCTTCACCTGAGGTTCGTGAGCGCTTGTGCCCAAAGCCTGTGGACCGGCCAAAGGCAAGCCAAGGCCACCTGATCCAAAGATCAGTGAATTTCCAACAGTAGTAAGTGGAGACACCTATTTAACACAACACCGCGAAGCAACTGACAACTGAAGGTATTCATTATACAGGAATCCTAGGACCCTTCTTCCTTTCTAAGCAAGAAGAGTTGGCTCTCGACACCTGGCATCCCTTTGTCCAACACTGGTCTAAGTTTGGAGGACAAGGTCACCTCCTGCATCTGCAGATTGCATGGCATTTGTACGTGGTACTTAGGTGAGTCAGGAACTCTTTAGGCTGCAAAAGGGAGGAGCCCCACTCCAACCAGCCTAATCAAACAAACAAAAAGAAAAAAATGAATTGGCTCACAACCAAATAGCAGCAAGGCAGCGGTAGAGTTGGTCTTAGGATTAGCGTCTCCACTCTCAGGGAACATGACTGCTTGCTTTGGGCTTTCCCCGTGGGAGGCCATGGCTCCAGCTTTGCTCAAGTGGCACCAACCAGCTCACCAATGACACAGCCAAGGTCTCACTTGGGCTTGGGCTGCTTACACTGCACAGAGATGCATCTCCTCCTTCTTCCTTTTTTTTGATACAGTGTCTCACTGGTCTCCCCGGGCTAGAGTGCCGTGGCATCAGCCTAGCTCACAGCAACCTCAAACTCCTGGGCTCAAGTGATCCTCCTGCCTCAGCCTCCTGAGTAGCTGGGACTACAGGCATGCAGCAGAATACCCAAGTAATTTTTTCTATTTTTAGTTGCCTGGCTAACTTTTTTCTATTTTTAATAGAGACAGGATCTCGCTCTTGCTCAGGCTAGCCTCCAACTCCTGAGCTCAAGCGATCCTCCTGCCTCGGCCTCCCCAAGTGCTCGGATTACAGGTGTGAGCCACGGCGCCCGGCCACAGAGATGCACCCTCCAAGGCCGATGCACATTCCCGCTGCCCGTCCAGTACAGCATGAGGACATCATCTTGGAGATTCCAACTTGAGTGTCTCCTCCTCACCTGTAACGACCCCACAATGAGTTTGTTTCCCACCTGGTACCAAGTGAACCTGTTCTCTACCAGGTGTCCTCAAACTACGGCCCGAGAGCCACATGCGGGCCACCTAGCACATTTATCTTGCCCTCCGGGTGTTTTTGCCACCGCTGCCTGTCCTGCTTAGCAGCCGACTCATCCCAGGCCCACAGTGCGCATGTGTAGAATGTGCACCGCACTCTCCAACGGTCTGAGGGACAGTGAACTGGCCCCCTGTTTAAAAAGTTTGAGGACCCCTGCTCTAACCCCTGGACACACCATCCCATTGTCCCTGCTGGAGACTGTCTTATGGGGGGGGGACCAGCAAGTCTCTTTGCAGCATCGATGCTACTCAGAGAACAAGAGCGGAAAGATGACATCTTCCAGCTGCTGTTG